CACTGCTTGTGTAACCTAACTATTGAGGCAAGAGCTGTCACAGCCTCTACTCTGTGTTAGAGGCGTGAGCTCTGTGGATGGCTTGGACCAAGGGAAAAGCGCCATTGGTCCAAGCTATCCAATAAAAAAAAGAAAGAAATAAACACTGAGGCCATCGATCTCTATGCCTCTGCAGTGATGAGAAAGTGAGGGACAGGGGGGCTCCTCCCTGTCTCCTCCCTTCTTCTTCCACACTAGCTTGGGGACCGGGTTGGGGGTGGGGCTTATGTGGGAGGGACAGGGCTTTGTCTGACTGTGGGCAGGGCTTCATCAGGCTGGGGGCGGGGCGTGCTGGGGGCGAGGCTAGGGAATGCCTCACTCAGAACCAAAGGTACCGCATGTCACTGGAGTCCATATCACTCAGATGTGAACAGGCACAAGAGAAGTGTCACCTGGGTTATTGCTGGTCAATAACCCATCGCCTTTATTTTTGTTTATTAATTTCTTAGTGTAACTACAACACAACTTTTTTTTTTTTACTAGGTAGAGAAGAGTTACAATTTCTATCAGGCTTTTATTGCTAGTTGTGCCCCCATTGGGGTCACCTTCTGAAATTCTAATTGTTATTATGCTGATACACTGGATACACTGGATTCAGTAGTCTGAGTCACTGAGTCACTGACCCAAAACAGGTATGCATATCAGTAAAATCCCTTCAATGTAATTCCTATTCAGAATAATAATAATAACATTTTTTCTCTCTGAATTTGTAGACGTAGCGTCAGTTACAAGGTACTGTGTACTTTGTAGACCTGTATTATTCTTTATGAAGAAGAGACAGACAACTGTTACTGCCTGGGGGTGTAAAACACAGATGTCATGTGCTTAAGACATGAGGTGATACGTTTCCCATTCATGCATATATTGCTGGTTATGTGTTTCCTCAATCACATCTGCACATCTGTTTATTTTTATTTTTTTTGAGATGCGGGCCCTCTATTATAAGGTTCCTGAAAAGCCCATGCTCCAAGTGGAGTAAAAGCAGATCCTTGAACTGTGAAAACTGGGATAAAGGGCACGTGTCAGGTTTAAAATGTATAAGGTTTAATCTGTGTTTTTCATCTTTCCTTGAATGTGTATTTATTTTAGAATGGTGTACTGGTTTCCTTTTTTACTTTTCTGCAATGTAGTCAGAGAAAGGATGGAGAGTAGGTAGAGGGACTTGATGCTTCCCAAGAAACTCTTCTTATATGAAATGTGGGCCAAAGCTGAGAAGGTAAGCACTCCTGCTTTAGTGCAGCACATGCATACACAGTCAGGGGTGTCCCTAGCCTGAGGCGGTCGGGGATTGCTGGATGGTGCACAGTGTGGGGGGGTATGGGGGTGTGCTGGTGGGGTGTGACGCTGCTAAGAGCCAGGTGGGGAGATGTTTAAGGGCTCTGCATCTCCCCGATCAGCTCTTCACAACCTGGACCGCTCTGACTGGTGTCCCACTGAGCTCCTGGCAACCAGTAACTTCACTTGGCAGGACGCTGAGAAGAGCGTCACAGGATATACCATCCTATTACAACATCAGCATTGTAATAGGAATACATACTAGAGTTGTTTTTAATAATGCAATCAAAGCTTACATGAAAAAATCCCTTTTATGTAGTGAGTGCTGCCTTCTGTCTGCCCATCACTTTCATCTACTTCCTGGATTCCCAGTGTGCTTTGCATCTCTTTCCCTGCTGCTTGATGTGATACAATCTCAGTTTCTCAAGACTACGTATTCCATCATGCATTGCTTCCAGCAAGCAATGATGAAGTTACAGTATTCAGATGTTGAGTTGTAGTTCAGGCAGGCTCTGTGGGAGTTGTGACACAAGAAAGTATATATTCAGGGGACTGAGTTAAAATTGTGTAAGTACATTGAGGAAGTACATCCAATGCTCATCTTCAAAAAGTTTGTTTACAAACTTCTAGATGGATATTGTTATTAGGAGTGGGATAGAACTTATGGAAATTTGATATGGAAAGACAAATGTATTTTTAGTCTTTGACCATAGATACTCTTTAACTATACTGGGGTACTTTTAGTTTGGAAATGCCCTATAGTGATTTTGTTACAAAGCACGGTTTTACCTTTATCCACAATCATATAACACTTTGTCGCTCTGTCAGCCCTGTTATGTTATGTATAATTAGAGTGTTCTGGGAACAAATTATGCTGCAGCACATTGGGATTTGAAATTTAGGACACTGACTGAGCTTGCTGAAATCTGCTGCCTTGCGTTTTAATTGTGTTGGGATTTGCCATAACTTGCAGACATCCAGCCTGTGTGCCAGCTTATCTTTCTAACAATTTAAGCATTAACTAGCCCTGTTTCAGCAAGACAGCAACGGCCTGAGTTATTAACTCATTATACCCCAAACGTATCAAAGGATTTAGTAAAACATACTGTATATGTTATGGGGTATGGTTTAGGGTGCATTCACTTCTAATACCTCCCTATACCAAATGCCTTTAATTTGTAATTATTGAGGACAAAAACATCACCCGGTGGCACATGATCACGCACGTGCGTAACATCACGATCCCGTGTAATGACATCATGTGCACCTAACTTAAGAGGGAAGGGATAAGGTATACTGTCAGGTCCCCTCCTCTCTTGTGCAGCTGTCGGGCTTTCAGTCCATGACTGTCAGTGATTTTGGTGTCACCCCCTCTGATGGTGTCACCCAGTGTGGGCTGCGCCCCCTACAAACCCTTTGTGAAGCCACTGGTTGAGTACCAGAGTTGAGAAATACTGTACTAAAGTAGTGCTTATAGCCTGATTGAACGTTCAGTTTAAATCAGCTAAATACATTCCAGGTGCATCAAAACAGAACGTGTTCAATATCTTACAGTTTATTTTCTTTCTAAAGATGCATCATTCTAAATAGGAAAGCCTGTTCTGTTCTAGCTGCTGCAGACTGAGAACCTTGTTTTCTGTGGAGAAGCAGTAGTCTCTATGTAGAGGTCTGATACTCCCCATACTGAGTCGCTCCTATAGCCCTGCAGTCAGCAAAGTTCCTGCTCCTGATTGGAAAGCTGTAGCTCTGACTCAGCCTGGGGCTTGTTGACCTCTGCAGAAAGATCACTGCTTTCCCACAGAGAGTAAGGGTCCCACTTTGCAGCATGTTGGCAGAACACACGTTTTTTGTAACTTAGGCTATGTCTGCTTTCAAAGAAAACAAACTGTAAGGTTTTGCACACCTTTAATTGGAAAGGACCTGCAATGCACGTAGCAAATTTAGACTGAAAGTTCAATTGAGCTTTAAATACACTGATACTGAAACTGGTAAAACCACAAATTACTGTGTAAAGGCACCTCTGGGTTCTTCAATGCCTTGTCAGGTTTTATGATCTTATGATGCTATGATCTTGCTGGTTGCCAGCTCTACCCGACTACTGAGTGCCACAATTGGTTTGTTAGGCCACCTCATGACAGTGATGGACCAAAGTACAACGAAAGAGGTGGCAGGGGGTCTCTAATTGGATATCAAGGTGCTGCAGTATTTGGAGTTGTTAGGAAATCTGCAGTTCGGGCACCTGGAGGTGGTTTTGTTACAAAATATGTGAAAGTTTAATAGTTTTAGTATTACACAAGATAGCATTAAGGTGACATGAACTATACAGCTTTCTCACTCAGCTGTATATCCTCCAATCATCTCTGAATTGTTGCTGACACTGTCCTTCCTTCTGGAGGGTGGCTACTTTTGTTCCCCATGGTCCCTGTGTGTGTTTTGTAAAGAAGCCACTGCTCCAAGCTTGCTCTCATAATGGACTACAATCTCACATTTAATTTACTAATTTGTATTGAGATTTTAGCCCATCACAGCAGTGAGTTTGGAGCAGTGGCTTCTTTACATCACACACAGGGACCATGAGGAACAAAAGTAGCCACCCGCCTCCAGAAGGAAGGACAGTGTCAGCATTAATTCAGGGATGATTTGAGGATCTACAGCTGAGTGATACACAAATAAGGTACATTTATGTTAATAGCTAAGGTACTTGAATGAATTTCTAAGATTTACCTCCTGAGTTTAGTGTCATTCTAACTGCTGAATTTAGTGTCACTTTAATTCTTGATGTTTCAGGTACACCTTTCTCTTGCCTACTCCTGAGTTTCCCCATTCACTTGAATTTGCATATTGATCAAATCACTTATTATATGCAGAGCAAGCTGGAAGCAGTACTTCATGGCTTGGGTGATGAGAACAACAGATTGAAGCAGCAGGTAGTGGAGATATTGTTTACACATGTAAACACTTGTGTTTTGCTCCCCTTTAAATTTCAAGTCATCACAGGATCATACAAGGCTTCAAATACAGTGGTAATGCTGTGTTAGCAAACAAGTGCGTTGTGAAAGTTCATGTCCTTGAAAAGCTGCATAAAGGAACTGCATTCATTTTCATTCATTAGGTGTTAGCTCTTCCTGTTGTTTTCTTCCTCAACTGCATCCATAACTGCAGAAGAGCAACATTTATCTTCTGGTTAGTTTTATTTTAGCTGGGAAAATAGCTTCTTACAGTGTTACTGTACAGAAATAGCAGGGTGGTTAAATCTCACTGCTTCTGCAAATGATGTGAGATCCATCAACCTTTTGTCAAGCAAACTTATGTTTTATAGTGAGCATCCAAGAGCAGACCTTTAGTCTCATACAACAAAACACGTGTCCAGTACGGCAATGCATCAAATGGACTTGAAGGTACATTTCTTCCCCAGGTTTACTGGACATATGCCATTCATGTTGTGTTGCTTTTGTTGGTGAAAAACTGATGAAAGCGCAACATCAGCAAAAACTTTTTTTTGGGGGGCGGGGTTCAGTTGGGAAAGGTTAGGACTTCCGTCAGCATGTTAATGCTAATTGTATTTGCAGGAAAATACACTCTTTTTCAAGGCACCCCTTTGTTTGGATGGCTTTTGTTAAACTATATTGATGAGAAAGAGAGAGAGAATATGAGATGACAGTTTAATAAATGTCCTTTCCTATAACCATCCCTTGGTGGCAAGCAGGGGCTTCCCGAGGCTGGGTGACACCCAGAGCGGTCATCGCGCAGCGATCTTCTGATACCTGCCGGCGGATATTTTGGTGATGGACGCCGGCAGAGAGGAGGGGAGGGGACAGTCACCTGGCGGGATAAGGTATGCCGCCGGGTCCCCTCCTCTCTCTCCTGATACTGTCGGGCATTCGGTCCATGACCGAGTGCCCGATTTTTCAGAGGGGGGTGACACCAAAATGACTGCCAGTCATTTTGGTGTCACCCCCTCCAATGGTGTCACCCGGGTGCGGGCCGCACCCCCCTTGTGACGCCAGTGGTGGCAAGAATTAATTTAGCCAAAATACCATTCGATAAAGAGGAGCCTCAGGAAAAACACAGAGGACAATTTGTCAAAACTGGAGCAGACAAAGTCTGGAGCAGTTGCCCATAGTAACAGCTTGCTCAGTTTGTTCAGTTAAGATTGGATAATTAAAGATAGAAGCTGATTGGTTGCCGTGTACAGCTGCTCCAGATTTTCTCTGCTCAAGTTTTGATAAATTCACCTCAGTGTTTTTTCCTACAACTCCAAGTAGCCTTTAAATACCAGAAACACTGAACTTGGACACTATTATGGTGGATGCCCTGATGCCCAAGATCTGTGTGGAGGCAAATATATTCTCTGCAGGCACAAGATCAGGTTGCTGAACTAACCCTAGTCCAAGCAGCCTCACAAATACGAGTACTACTTTTTCTCCAAAGCACAAACCCAACAATTGTCCATATCCACCACCAATACTGTACTGAACAGTTTTGCTTTAAAAAAAAAAACGTAATTTGCATGTACACATGGCTTCAGGCTCCTAACTGAAACATTCAAGTGAATATTTATAAAGTGATTCTAAAATCAACAGCACATTACTTGGCCATTTTCTCATAAAAACTAGAATTCATTCCAAACTGACTGATAAAATAATTCCATCCACAGCCAGGCGACAGAAATATAATTTACTTGGAGTTGTAGGAAAAAAATACTGCAAGGGGAATATATTAAAACTGGAGCAGAGAAATTCTGGAGCAGCTGTACACGGCAACCAATCAGCTCCTAGCTTTCATTTTCCAATCTTAACTGAGCAAACTGTTACTATGGGCCACTGCTCCAGATTTTGTCTGCTCCAGTTTTGATAAATTGTCCCCTGCGTTTTTCCTGAGGTTCCTCTTTGTTGAATGGCATTTTGTCTAAATTAATTCTTGGCACCAAGGGCTGGTTATAGGAAAGGACATCATTAAACTGTATTGTATCTATCTATCTATCTATCTATCTATCTATCTATCTATCTATCTATCTATATATATTATCAATGGAGTTTAACAAAAGCCACCCAAACCACTTATTTGACGCTGGTACATACATATTCTACCGTCCAATTGTTTTTTAAAAGGAATCTGACAGGATAGAAATATGTTGGCTGCAGTTGCTGACTCGTACCAAGTCCCTGCACTGGAACAACCATGTCTACCATATGATGACACCTGATAGCTCACCGAGTAATTAGGGATAGATTATAATGATAGCCATCCATCTTCAAAAACAAGTCACCAGTGGCAGCACCCATATAATTCAGTCTAAGTGATATCTAAGCCGGGTGCAGTCTTAAACTGGCCATACATGTGGCAATTCAATTTTATAGGGTGATTGAACTTTAGATTCCTTTGTTTTGTCGAAAATGCAAAGCAACCGAAGACGTAAAAGACACCTTTTGGCCTCTGTGAATATCAAAGATGTGTACAGCTGCCAATGTCCTGATCACACACGCCTTAGATAATACCACTTAACAGTCAGTTACATGGACACACGTCAGTAATATATAAAGCACTAACCTATATTTGTTGCAGTAAACCAGGCCATTGTATACCTTAAGAGATCATTGATGGGGTCATGTGGGAAAATAAAACCAAGTACTAGACTGTCTTGCTTTGTTTGAATTGATTTACCATAGAAACTGATAACATAATCCTAGTCTAAACATAGTTTTTGTTAGAGTATACAACAAGCCATTCATATAGCTCCATATGGGCTGAACACGTGATGAGGTTTTTGAAGAAGGTACAGCTAATGTGGCTCAGATTTCAGTGATATTCTGTTACATAGTATTCAGGCCTTAAACAAACTAAAAGAGCTGATACTTGTTTACCATATTT